TAAAGCTCCCCCACAAATGCCCGTCAACTGGTTTCCTTATGTATGAAACTGATGCTTAGGTAAATCCGAGAGCGAATAAGTCCCATAAAGTGGGCAAAAATAGGGTAGAATGGATGCCTAGGGATGAAGTTAGCCTTTGCTCCTGTGAGATTTTGAGGACCAAAAAACAAAAGTATAACTGTTGTGCACAGTTGCAGGCTGCAAGAAGCAGCATTGCGGAGATGTCTGCAGTCCTTGTGTAATCCAACTGGACTTACTTGCCCTCAACTTCACCTAAGCATAAACCTCATAAATCCGGGGACCGTTTACTGAAGACGGGTTTCTGCAAGACAAATCCTGCTGGCATAGGCTCAGGTTTTGTTTGCTTTTGCTTTTTTTGCTTTTGGTTGCGGACTTCAGTTCGTTGATTTTGCTTTTTTCCTTTTATTCACAAATTCAGGTTTGTTTTAATTTACTTTTCTTTGTAGTGCCGTGTTGGTTTATTTTCCTCTTTACTGCTATCTGGAGTTCTTGCTTCGAACTCCTGACTAGCACCCTTCTTCCTCTCTTGTATCCTGTCTCCAATCCCTGCCTCCAAAGCTGCATCGGGACACCCATCACCTCCTACTACTATCACCGTTTATCGTCCTGCCCTAACCAGCAACTTCATTCCCCCCACTATCCGGCCTAAATCACGCCCTCTGAGCTGTATCTGGGCAGCAACCAACCAACACCCCCAACCACATCCAATTCTCCCGTCCATCACCCTCTGCCACGCAGTCCAACCGCCAAACACTGAGCAGCGCGAACCAGCGCGTCTGGCAAAGTTCCAGCGGGCGGCTCCGCGAAATAATGTTGGCAGAAATGTTACAGCAAATCGCTGGATAGCCCAAGCACCACAGATCATCAGCCGAGCCAAGTCGTGCCAAGCCGAGCCGATCCGAGTCAAACCAAGTTTTTGTAATTGCCTTTTTTGCCATACAGTGCTAGAGCGCAGCAATAGGTAGCAAAAACTCATACAGCGGCAACTAATAAAACTCGGCTCGTCTCGCCTCTGCCAGGCCTGCTACATGATTTGCAAGCGATTTCTCCAGGTCTGCTTGCCCCACGAATCAAGTGTGCTGACGCTGGGGATGATTTGGGGGTGAGGGGATGGGGACATATGTGCTGGCTTGGAGCGCAGAGTTCGATGCATGGGGGACGTGGTTGGTGGATTGGGGAGGTAGTGGCGTGACTGCATAGGGGGAAGGAAGAAGGGGTGAGTGGAAAGGAGGAAACACCTGCTGCTGGTTTTTGCCGCGGATACGTGGGGTACGGGAAGAGCTGACAGTGCATGGCCACTATTCTGGCTGCGGGATTCGAGCAGAGAGGGAGCTAGGATAGGTGTGAGGGGATTGTGTATGCGAGTTTGACGCGCAGGGAATAGAGATACGGAAAGGAAATTGGGTGGGTGAGTTGAATGAATACGTGCCGTGGATCCTTTGACAGCTGCCTAAGCCACGCAAGGGAGGGGGAAGGAGGTGATTGCTGGAAAGGAGGAAAGCAAGAAAAAAGCAAAAGCAAGAAAGGAAGTAAAACTATAAACCCGCCATAAATAGGAGACATCACCATCTATAAAACTGATGCTTAGATAAGAATGTGTGTGTGTGTGTATGTATGTATGTATGTATGTATGTGTCTGTGTGTACTTGCCCATCCGGGCATTTCTACTCGCTAGTCACGCAAGCTTTGGTGTTGGAGTTTTGCCAGGGTGTCCCCTCACCACGTACAACCTTAGGACTGTGATATCAACTGCCGTGCAGGCCCAAGCATGATGTACGAACACCTAAGTCTCACGTATGAAATTTTTGGCGGAAAAATTGCCGGCCTGGGAGCTAGAAAATTGGGAAGCTGGAATTTCTGGAAATGTTCCCTACTCATGTGCGATTGAAAAGTTTCAAATTCAGCATTTTAGAGCCACCCGTGACTCACAGACAAACGAAAGCTTTGGCGAGGAAATTGTTGAGTCGGGAACGAGAAAACCGAAAGACTGGGATTTTAAGGAAATGCTCCCTACTCATGTGCAACTAGAAAATTTCAAATTCAGCTCTTCTAGTGGGGCCTTTTTCACGCACCAGCAATTTTCAATTTGTCGGATTACTGAAGCCGACATCTACAACTGATCTGCCACATAGCTCCACAATTAACTTCCTGAACTTCGAGAGTCAGCATCTCACAAATTCTAGCTACTGCGGCTCCTTCCGATCTTACTACAGCACGAAAGAGCGCAAAAACGCATGATTGCACCGGCCCTTCTGGTGCGTTTTACCCCGGGTTTTCTCTTTATATGCTTGAAGGGCTAACTGCAGCTGCCAATGAAAACAAGTCAATTTATCAGAAAAGAAGAAATAAATACTGGTCTAAGCAATACCAAGTGCATTATGCCGCGATGTCCCAAAGAAAATATAGAAAAATGCCGGAAATATAGCACTGTAAAGGCCATGAACGGCTTCCACGCCAGTCAGTGCCGAGTGAGCTATCGCTGAAAATGCTTCGCCAGTTTAGTGTGCATGCTCAAATTTTTATGTTCTACATCAGTACCAAAATTAGCAGAACACTGGCCAAATTTCTGAGCCCAGTTAGGACCACATTGCTGTCCAGCAAGTCAGCGAGATTCTAATCTAGGATAGTAAAGTGAAGGAGAACCTTGTGGAACCGCTAACACAGCCATTGTTAGACCGCCGCTCAGATCGCCGAAGAATGAATGCCGCCAACTGTAATTTGGCAGCCAAGAAACCAAAGGCATAAATCTTTTAATACAATTAAGTAGATTTTCAGTTCCAGCTTTCCCGACGGTTTTTCGAATCTGCTCCAGGAAAGCAGTGCTACTTGTTTCTCCTTGCACCGCCATCGCTGCTGAAATTCCATCAAATTTAATTCATATGCCGTTTAAACAATTACTGCAACAGTTGGACCATGGTGTTACGCTGAGTGAATAAAAAATATTTTGGCGTTTTTAAAACTGAACAAAGAAAATGACTGCCACCACAAGCAGAAATGGGCCCGTTTCCTGCACTAACGAAGCCAGGATCTTTTTCTACGCTCGGCTTTCACGTGTTCTAGAAATAGCAAACACTTTCTGGATGTTAGCAAGTACTTTCTTTGTTTACTAATCATAATACACTGATGATAAAGAACTACTCTAGTCAGAATAATGTAACAAAAAATATGGCAAGATGTAGGATATATTTCTGGATTTTTAAAAGAGCGGCATTTCATATTTAGCCCACGAATCCAACGAATTTAACAGAAAATTTCCATCTTTTGGTTTTTCAGAAAGTACGCGGATGCAAAATCTGCAATTCGTGACTACGTCATTATCACGATTTTTCAGCTGAAGGGAAAAAGGGTGAATTGTCCAAAGATAATTCAGGGCAATGTGTTAACTATCAAGAAAAAAAGCTATTTGAGGAGGTATTAGATACAAAATGAATAAGTACATTGCGTTCTTGAAAGGATGCATGGCGAGCAGACGTTACGCGAACAGTAGCCCTCAAATTTGTTGCGCACCTCTACCGCTATAAAATCCTTTAATCAAATAAGTTCGTCACGAGTGGCTGCCAAAAAGCGTCGTTTTACAATCTTTTGAGTAAATATATCGCTAATTTACAAAAATTCAAGTTGAGCACATTTTTCCGGAGTATGCCAAGAAATGCTTTTCTTTGAAGCAGCTATTGAAAGCGGCCCTAGCTATTACTTTACTTTAGCAACAACTTTTCCGAACGTGGCAAAGGCTCATCCTATTAACTTTACCTGGAAGACCTCGAAGTGTGGCTGAATCTTCATTTGTACAGCTGATAAATATATTTCCCGGTACTATGATAAATGCACGGTAAGGTTGTTTATCAAGAACAAACTGTCGCAAAAACATACAGTTAGACTAATTTTTATGCGTATTGCAGTGTACTTTACATTCAGTCGTAAAGTACTAAATTGTTACTCAAGACTTTCATTCATATCAATAAGCCTATTCGGGTTAACTTATTTCAAACCAGTGTAAGCCCGTATTGGTTCTGCCAGATTGATTCAGCATATTTTCGCCCGGGCTTGATTTGTCCTGTGTGATGCAGCTACATCCATTCCAAGTTAAAGCACTATAGTTTGTCGTATACTTCGATAAAACCTCGCCTTACCCGAACTAGTTATGTGTTTTTGCATATAATAAGTAAATGCGTAAGTTGAAAATTGGAAGCATCAAGT